TGGGATTGTGGTGGAACATGTGTCGAAACTCACAGCATGTGGTGTCAAAAATGTGGAATCTCAGACCTGCTTCATATCTGAGGAACACCTTTTCAATTCTGAAAATTTTGTCAGTCACAGTTTTAATGAGTAATGAGATTTTCAACTACTTACCTAGGGTACTAGGCCAGCCCGTGCAAGGACCAGGGAAGGTCCCAGCCAAAACAAAACAAACAAAAAAAAATCCAAAAAATCCGAAAAAAAAAACTATGTTATGCAGAAAAATAAACTGAACAACTTTTGCCTCAGGGTCACATCGACATTCTGCACCAAATTTAGAATAAAAAATAAAATTTCTATTTTTTTAATATTTTATTTTACTTTTTAGTATTTTTTAAGTCTGGAAAACTATTTCTATTTTATTTTACTTTTAATATTTTATTTTACTTTTTAATTGTTTTTGGCCCAGCCGGGCAAGTGACCCCGGGCCACTCTGGTAGCCTAGCTACTTACGGTATAACTTACCTGATTTGTCGTGATTTTCTCAGTTCGAACGTTGACATTGAGCTTGTCTGATTGGGGTCTGTCGGGGTCTGTCACTCCTCTTCGACCTTTCGGTTTCACTGTGCATTGTGGTGGACCCTTTGCCTCCGTGGTTAGCTGCTGAGCCATTTGGTTTATCGGTGTTTTCTTCTTGCTATATTGTTGTATGGTCATTGTGTGGGCTGTTTGGAAATGCTTGGGAGCAGACGGCTTATCATGAACATCGTCGTGGGCGTTACAGCTGGCCTCGTCATACTTGGCCTTGGTAGTATACCCATCCCTGATCTTCAACTCGCTAAATGTTGTATTTGATATTTTGTCTTCCCATATCTCTGAAAACCAATGGTATGAATTTGTATCACCATTAAGTCTAAAAGTTGAGTTGGCGAGACTTATGAGGAAAAGAGCAGCTGGCCTTGTCATACTTGGCCTTGGTATTATAGTAATTATATTATTATACCCATGAGAAATATCTTTGAGAGCCAATTGCATCACCATTCACTCTGGACTTGATGTGGGAAGCCTTATGAGGGAAGATGCTGTACAAGTTCTGGGAGTCCAGCAGGGGGAAAATCCGAGGCTACGGTAGCCACAATGTTGGGGATAAAAGGCTGTCCCATATAGTGGCGATGTAACTGCTGATCTGAATGGTATTAGGATCATCTGGGCTACGAAACATGGTGGACCAGGCAGTTGAGCCAGTGCCTGGCGGGCACATACTGGAAACAGCTACTGTATGAATGAATGTCTTGATAAGATACACAAATGATGTGCAGGATGAGTAGGGGGATGGATGGATGGATGGATGGATCGGGGAAGGGACCAGTGGTAGTGTAACTGCTCATCTCAGTGGTAGAAATAATCATCTAGTCTACAAAACGAGTCTGGCCCAGCAGCCGGGCCAGGTAGACCCATTTCGTGGAAGAAATGATGGGCAGGGTGAGTGGGTGGATGAATGGGTGGATGAAACATGTGGAAGGGGCAGGGAAAAGGGAGGCCACCATTTCGATTCTTGAGATGACAGTTAAATTGCACTTGACACACACACACACACACACACACACACACACACACACAGAGAGAGAGAGAGAGAGAGAGAGAGAGAGAGAGAGAGAGAGAGAGAGAGAG